TCGGTTACTTTTCGCTTCGTGGCCAGCGTGTGATAAGGTCCTATGTTTGTCCCTCTTCAGTATCACATCCATATCTCTCTCTTTATCACCTTCAACTGCATTGAGTCCCTTCCTTTTCCATCTTTACCCAACTGTAACTCTTCTCTAATTTCTTCTTTCTTTCTAACTTTGGTACTCAGTTGTATATCTTTACTCTTTAGGATCTTCTTTAGCTCTTTCATGGCTGCCCTTCACATTCCTAGTCTTCTTATCTCTTGACTGCAGACTCCATTCTGGGCAGTGTTTGATCCCAATAATTTTTTGACTATTCCTCATTAGTTAATTCCAATTTTTGTAGGTCCTCCATGGTCATTACTTTTGTTTTCTTTATTTTCAGCAGTAATCCTGCCTTTACTCTTTCTTCCTTGACCTTCCTTAATAATTGTTCCAAATAATTGATGTTTTCCACTATTAATATTGTGTCATCCACATATCTTAAGATTGTTACTGTTCCTTCCTCCTATCTTCACTCTTCTGAGTCTAGCCCTGCTCTTCGTATGATATTTTCTAAATACAAGTTGAACAAGTATGGTGATAATATGCAGCCTTGCCTATTAGGAACCATTCTGTTTCTCCATATTCTGTTCTGACAGTGGCCTCTTGTCCCAAGTATAGATTTTTTTAAAAATTTTATTCAACAATGAACAAATTAACACAAATAAAACATATGAATTAACATAAAATACAACAACAACATATATACGTATAACACACTTACTTCCTAAACTGGACTTAAGAAGAACTAAACCTGTATCTTTGTATTATATAACTTGACTACTATTATAAAGTTATCAATCCAGAGTATATAATCCATATTAACGTAGTAACATATCTATATATAACATATATTAAACCTACACAAAACAATACTAATTATATAGTATAGATTTCTGATCAGGACTATCAAGTGTATTGGCACTCCTATGTCTTTGAGAGCATTCCTTAGCTTTTCATGATTGATGCAGTCAAAGGCTTTCCATATCAATATATTTTTCTATCACTTTATAAAGTTATGCACTTCTTCATGCAAAGAGAATCTCCTGAGCATGTATATGTGTGTTCTTTATTTAATTACAAATATTTAGAAAGTGGTTAGATCTGAAGATTTTTGCTCACTGTACAATTTTATGTGATCCATTAAAAAGGTGTTTTCAACATGTTTCTAAAAATAAACATTACATGATCGTGGTGGATTTCACACAGTGGGTGTCATAGTTTTAAATGCCTCTGTTTCAAATGGTGGTGGCACAGAGCCTAGGAATATGTGCCACCACCAGCAAGGGCTCTATAGATGAGCTCAAGTACCGAATAGATCTGTAAAGATGAGCAAATCTTAGCCCTCCAGATGTTGTTGGACTACAGCTCTCACCAGACCTAGCCAATATAGTTGACGATAAGGAATATTGGGATCTATAGTCCCATAATATCTGGATGGCGACACTTTGCCTACCCCTGGTCTACCACATCCCGAGTTGTAGGTACCACTATTGGAGCATGTAGAAGCTGTTACATTTGGATAGTTCATTTTTGCCTCCACACTGAAAGCAGCCACCTGTGTTTATAATAATAATAATAATAATAATAATAATAATAATAACAACAACAACAACAACAATAATAATAATTTATTTATACCCCGCCTTTTGCCATAGCAATCAAGGCGGCTTACATCTAAAATCAAGTACAAAAAACCCCGACAATGAACAGCTAAATAATATAAAAAACATATTAACCCCCCATTAAAAATACAATATGTAAAATTAAAACAATTAAAACAATATTTTGTTTACTATTAAAGGAAATTTTGAGGTATGACGAGGGACCCTGTCACATTATACAGTTATAGTGGCATGATTCCACTATAATTACCATGTCAATGTCCAGTGGAATCCTGGGATTTGTAGTTTAGGAAGGGGTACTTTGGATTCTCAGCCAGAGAGCTCCTCTGGTGCCACCCTGAGATGACCCTATCCTGGTGTTTTCTTGGCAAAATTTGTTCAGAGGTGGTTTGCCATTGTGTTCCTCTGAGGCTGAGAGAGTGTGACTTGCCCAAGGTCACCCTGTGGATTTCGTGGCTGAGCTGGGAATCAAACCCTGCTCTCCAGAGTTGTAGTCTAAAACTGAAGCCACTATGCCACACTGGCTCTCACTAACATAACAAGTTTTAAAAATAAAACCATTAAAAACATAGAAAAACAAACACCTGAATAAAAATCCTCTCTGGGTACAGTTACATATTAAAAAGTCTGTTTAAAGGGAACAATTTTGCTTGCTGAGAAATTGTAGTACTATAAGTTGAGGCCGACTTCAGGGTGGTTAACAGCAACAACAACAACTTTGTGAAAATGCCCCAGGTTAAAACAAATGGTGCAGTCTTCTCTTCCAGTTACTGGCTGACGCAGATAGGAAGGACCAGAATCAAATCCTGCTGGACAGGGTGAAAGATAGGAACCCCAGCAAAGCAAGGAAGTTTAGACCACTAGAAACTCTTGTGCAATCCAGTCTGACTTCTGTTAAAACAAATTGACAGAAAGAAAACACACCAACAGTTCTGGGAGGAAATATGTATGTTCAGGGAGATAACAGACAGTGAACAAGTTTCTAGGTCTGATGCAAGATCTGGTTCCTGCGTTTGTGAATTTTTTAGGGTAATTGTTGGGAATAGTGAATTTTAGATGAAAAGTCTGACTATAATTGTAAGCAAGGGCAGGCTTGTTGTTTTTTGTGTGTTTTTTCGGGCTGTGTGACCATGTTCTAGAAGAGTTTCTTTCTGACGTTTCACCAGCATCTGTGGCTGGCATCTTTATCTTTTCTCTGAAGATGCCAGCCACAGATGCTGGCGAAACGTCAGAAAGAAACTCTTCTAGAACATGGCCACACAGCCCGAAAAAACCCACAAAAAACTATGGATGCCAGCCATGAAAGCCTACGACTTCACATCGGCAGGCTTGTTATTTCTTCGTCTTTGCCCCCATACCCATTCAGGCAGCACAATGTAAAAGACATATATTAATTTGCCAGAAAAACTTCAGAACGGTATGCTCACGACATCATTTAAATTATGATTGTGCTTCAAAAGCACACAAGGTGCGTATTCCCTGCATTCCAATATTGCCCATACCATCAGAGGCTCGCTTAATTTTATTGTGTTGTTAATATATTTCACTATACCTGGACACCTTCGGGCAGTATGCAGGGAATACGCATGTTGTATGTTTCTTAAATCGCTATAATAATTTAAATTATGGTGAGCATACCGCTCTGAAGTTCTTCGGGCAAATTAATATCTGTATTTTGTCACTTGCAGTTATTTGTGATCTTCCCCGCGGACATTTGTCAATTTTTCTTAGGAGTCATGAATGTCCAAGTAGTTGATGCAGTTCTGTTCACCTTTAAAAGGCCACACTCTGGGGGCAGCTGAAATCCAAGAAGCCAGATTACTCATGGCAAAGCGTTCCCAGAACCCACGGAAATAAGTGGTGAAGTAAATACAGGTTTGAAAACAACCACACCTTATTTTCCAAGGTGACTTGGCCTCTTCAATTCATGTGAAAAGGGATCAGTTTGTCTAGATTCCTCTTTAGTCTTTAGTTTTCTGCAAAAAGTGGGGTGGGTAAAGAATTGCACTTTTTGGGATGCATAAAAGAGAAAATTGCTATGCAGAGGGGCAGGGTACAAATATTATTATTATTATTATTATTATTATTATTATTATTATTATTATTAAGAAAGCTGAAATTAATAATTGCATTAGAGCCTGGGAAAGTTACTGTCCTGGACCACCATTCCCATAATCCACCAGCTATCATGGCTGCAAGCCATGCTGGCTAGGGGATTCTAGGATTTGTGATCCAAAACAGTAATTTCCGCAGGTACTGAATTACATGTGATCAATACATGCAGAAAAAGCTTTCATAGCTAAAAGAAGAGCCAGCGTGGTATGGTGGTTTGAGTGTTGGACTGCAACTCTGGAGAGCAGGATTTGAATCCCCGCTTGGCCATGGAAACCCACCGCGTGACCTTGAGCAAGTCATATTCTCTCAGCTTCAGAGGAAGGCAAAAGTAAACCCACACTGAACAAATCTTGTCAATAAAACCCTCAAGGTCACTGTAACGACTTGAAGGAACACAACAACAGCAACAAGTGGAAGAAGAGGGGAGACCTTGATGGGAATGTTGTCTCAGGCCAAAAGCTCAGGGCTTCACGAGGAATGGGTGGGTTAGGGCAGACTGGACAGAAACAGAAACACACATGTCTGCTTTTGGGACTATGTTGTTGTGTGCCTTCAAGTCGTTTCTGACTTATGGCAATCCTAAAGCGACCATATCATGGGGTTTTCTTGACATGATTTGTTCAGAGGATGTTTGCCATTGCCTTCCCCTGAGGCTGAGAGAGTGTAACTTGTCCAAGGTCACCCAGTGGGTTTCCATGCCCAAGCTGGGAATTGAACCCTGGTCTCCCGAGTCGTAGTCCAATACTCAAACCACTACGCCATGCAGGTTCTTTTGGGAATAGCTATCAGAATGAGCAAGACTGGAGGTAGCAAGAGATTCGAAAAGAAATCAATCAACTCATCAATCACTTTGTATCTAGTCTTCTTCCCAAAACGTGGGAGTCAAGGCAGGTTGGGGAATAAAAAGAGATACAAATTAAACCACATACATCTAAAAACATACAAACATGTAGAAACATACAAAGATACAAAGTGATTAAGAGTAAGAAAAATATTTAATGTTACCGTAATATTAAAAACTTCAGAAATGGCATTTTTGGTGGTCAGGTTGTAGAAGTAATTCTGGTTAAGAACCGTGGCAAGGAAGAAGTGGTATCAAGTAAGAGGAAAAGTGGAAGAAAACAGAAGGAGGTCAGCCTCATGGGTATAAACTTCAGGAGGGAAGCCAGTGGCAGACATATTAACAGTGCCAGACATATTGAGCTAGTGTGGCATAGTGGTTTGAGTGTTGGACTATGACTATGGAGACCAGGGTATGATTCCCACTCAGGCATGAAACCCACTGGGTGACCTTGGGCAAGTCACACTCTCTCAGCCTCAGAGGAAGGCAATGAAAAAACCCTCTGAAAACCACTTACCAAGAAAACCCCATGATGGGGTTGCCATAAGTCAGAAACTACTTGAAGTCACACAACAACAAACAACATTTTATAATCAATAGTGCAGATTTCATATACAATATTTATACAATATATATATATATATATATATATATATATATATATATATATATAAAATAGGGCACATTTAATATATTCTAGGCATGTCTGTTCAACAGGAATGGAGCACAGTGAATGGTACACCTTCATGAGCATAAAATTGTAGCTGAAATCACAAAGAAATTATTTCTAAGTACAGTCAGCCCTCTGTATCCATTAATTTCCTATCCGTAGATTCAACTATTCAGAGTTTGAAAATATTTTTAAAAAATTAAAATTCCAAAAAGCAAATCTTGATTTTGCCATTTTACATAAAGGACGCCGTTTTACTACGCCACTGTATATAATGGGTCTTGAACACCCCCAGATTTTGGTATTCATAGGAAGTCCTGGAAACAAACAACAGTGGATACCAAGAGCTCACTGCAGAGGCTCAGTTTTCTGATATCTGTACCCCAGAAATTACAGTCTCCATCTCATCCTTATTTTGTTTTTGGCAAGTATAGGGATGATCCTTTTGGACATTTTGATAGCGTGCACACATCTTCAATAGAGTTCTCCAGACTTCACTCTTTATTCTTGTTGCTGTTGTGTGACTCCAAGTTGCTTCCAACTTATAGCAGCCATAAGGCAAGCCTATCATGGGGTTTTCTTAGCAAGATTTGTTCAGAGGTGGTTTGCCATTGCTCCCCCTGAGGCTGAGAGCATGTGATTGCCCAAGGTCACCCAGCAGATTTACATGGCCAGAGTGAGAATTGAACCCTGGTCTCCAGAGTCCAAGGGCCTCGGCAGACAGAGGCCCCGGAGACGCCGCCAGACGGAGCGCCGCGGGACCGCAGCCTCCGCACCCCGGCGCTCCTGCGGCATCCCTGGAAGGAGCACTAAATCAGCGCTCCTTCCATAAGACAGGAAAAGTGCGCCCTAAATGCGTAGGGCGCACTTTCCCTGCCTTTTCCGCCGCAGCGCGTGCGGTTGCTGCGGCGGGAGGTTGCCCCCGGAGCGCCGGCCGTGCGGAGGGCCGGCAGCTCCGAGGGCAACCTCAGGAAGAGGAAGGAGCGCCACGCGTGTGGCTGCTCCTCCTCTTCCTGGCCTCGGAGACAGCTCAATAAGCCGTCTGCCGAGGCCCCAAGTCCAATACTCAGACCACTACGCCATGGTGTCTCTCTGTCTTCATTCTTGGGTCTCTAAAATTATTGTCTAAGGGGGTGCGGACTACAGTAGGTGACACCCTAAGGGGGGGTGACACCATTGCTTCCCAAACATATACCTTTGGGGCAAAAACAGGTTATGACATTCACTTTTATCTCTTTAAAATGCTGAAGACATGGAGTGAGTGGGGTGAGGAGGAGAACGAAGAGTCCTCAGTTAAAAAATAATAATTTAATTTTTTTAAAAAATTGAAATAACATTTAATTTTAAACCTTATTTTTAAATGTTCTTTCAAAACATCATACCCTACCAAATGTTCACATTAACCACAGGAAACTATGTGCATGTAAATGCATTTAGGCTGTGCATATGATTTTGTAATTTAAAGGTATCATTTTAATTTTGCTTGTTGTTTATGACACAACTATTACCACTGCATTCAGTGATATACAGGGATTACAATTTATGTTTGTTTGCAAAAGGAGGAAAAGTCATTAGGAAAAAAACCTAATAATGACAGAGGTGGAGACATCCTAATAGGATCTGATTGTCCTCAGTGGCCATGCAATGCTGATAGACTACTTGCAGGGAAAAATAGGGAGGAGTATTTTTTTTTTTTTTAGGGGGAATGTGGGAATCTCTGGGATCTTGAACAGCAGTACCACAACATTTTGTTGCAGTAACATTAGTACAAAAAACATTAGCTAGGATTCTGTATGGTGTGGTATGGGAGAAGGTCAATGGAGGATGACACCATGAGTTACTGCACTGGATGATGCCAACTCTAGTGTGTGGGTGTGTGTTTGTCACAAGCATATTAAC